TCTGTTTCCTGGATTTGCAGTCCGACTGGGGAGTTACTTTTTTCCCCCTGTGTGGAGAAGGCTGTGGGAGAGTGACGCAGGCAGGGCCTGGCTGGCAGGTTCCCCCCTCAGTGCCTGCCTCTGGGTCTGGCCTGCTGTGTGGCTGCTGTTTATACCTGCTCAAGTGCTTTCTGTGTTTGAGTTGGCGCTTGGAGCTTACATGCTAGAGCCCCAGGCTGCTCATGATGTGTGTCCCAGGACTTTGAAACCTATGAGCTGGCGGCTGGGGCAAGAGAATGTCTCTCTCGGTTTTTGGGTGAACTCCATGTTTTTTTCCAAGAGGTTAGATCACTGTCCACAGTCCAGGCTTGCTAGACAGAATGTAACAGTTACTGTTGGAGACATCCTGAACTTTTAAAGGCAGAAGGCGGGAGGGGGAAGGGGGAGAGAAAGCCCTGGGTCAACCGAACAGCTTGAAAATGAACATTTTTTTTTTTTATGTCAGGTAAACAAAGGTTTTCACTGAACTGGAAAACTTTATCATCAAAAAAAAAAGGCAAAAAGGATCACATCTTATTATGGTAAGAGGGACAGATTAGTATAAATTTCCCAGTTGCATTCCAGGTTATATTTGAGACCAGACCAGATTAATCAGTGGTTGCAGCAGGGTATTAGGAATGATATGATTTTTGTAAAAAAAAAAAAAAATTTACCTGGCAGTGTCCCTGGTCCTTTCATCAGTCCATAAAGATCTTTGGAAGATCTGACTTTTTACAGGGTGGCAAAGTTAGGAAACCTCTGGCCCTTGCTTGGCCCTTGCCACCGCTGTTTGCTCCTTCTTCCATTTCCCTTTTCCGTCATATTAGGAATATCATCATCTATTTTTTTTCCCCCCTCAGATTTCTCTCCCCTCATCTTTTCCTATGATAAACTTTGGTCTGTGGGTGAAATTTTATTTTGGTTATATAATCTTATGAGTTGTTAGAATTCTACATTTTATTTCTGAGCATGTGTGTATACATAGATGGACATGATAGATATGTAAAAGCCACCAGACCTGAGACACTAGCAGGTAAGGAAAATGTTTTACACCAAAGAATAGTAACGTCCTGACCAAAAAATAGCCACATGGAGGGATTAATTGAGAGCTGGATGTGACTGATTTTCAAGTTCATAGCAACTTTGTTTACAGGAAAACATAAGAGAGCCCTTGTCACATCCTCCCCCCACCCCTGCCACCTCAATCAAGTACAGAGTCTGTGTTCTTATAAATATGTGAAGAATTTCATCTGTAATGTTTGTCTATGAGGGACATAAAAATACCTTTGAGTGGAGTGAGTGCCAGCCTTATTTCACCAAGCCAAGGGAAAGAAACGCTGCTCTTGGGTTTCCACCTAGAGAAATGCTAGTGAGGAATGAACAGACTCTAGCATATTTAGCCCTGGGTGGAACTCAGTGGTCTTCTATTTTACAGTGATGTCTTTTCTCTACCTCTCTCCTCAAACCTCTTTCCCAACCTAATTCATGCATTTGCCCCGAGAAAAGTTAAAGGATATTTAAATTGAACATTTAATTTGATCCTATCAGGAAGCAATGGCATTAGGGACAGATGTATGCTATACGGACTCTGATGTGATACAGCTGTCCCAACATCTGGGATGGCTTTGTTTGTCATTCAAGAGGTTTATTGATGCGATGTGCATTCCCTGCTTCTCTTCATGAAGAAATGTTTATACCTGTGGGCATGTCCAGATGGCAGTGAAAGGCTTGCATTCATGAAAGCAGTGTTCCGCGATTCATGGAGGCCAAGGAATGCAGCAAAGGCATGCCTCATAAAGAGCCAGTTTCTAAGGTGACAGATGAGCACCCTTGAGGCAGGAGGTGGGGAGGGGGGGACAGAGAGACAACCAGAAATAATACCACAAAAAAACCCCACTTTTTGTTATTGTTCTGGCAAGTTATAAAAAGGGAGTGTGGGAAGAGGGGGAGGGGTTTGGAATTTTGTTCTTTGGGTCTCAGTAGAAATTTAATTTGGGTCTGCCCTGTGCATTGGGAGCATAGTGTCCCTTTCATAGGTTAATTTCAGTGATATAGGGCACCAAAGGTCCAAGGCGTGACCAAAGGAACAGGCTGATCTCAGGCTGTGACTGTCAGGTAGTGAATTATCAGGAGCTCTGCATTCTTGGAATTTTTTTTTTTTTCCTGTAGTATGTCCCTTTAATGCTATCACTGGAATGGTAAAATTTCAGCTGCATAAGTATTCTCAAGAGGGTATTTCTGACCCCGATTAACAATCTTGATGGGAAGAGTTTTCTCTTTGGACCACCTCCAAGTTCAGAGAAAGCTCAGATGAGGACTTCTAGCTATTGCAGCCAGTTGGAATGTAGACTGTGAACCCAGAAGGTAATATAGAAGGATATTATTATGTCTCAGAGAATTTGACACATTGTAACTCCTTAAATACATGATATACTATGTGGGGGTGGGGGAAGCCATGGAAGTAGAAAACAGCTCTAAAAACTAGAGAGGTTCTCAGGTTAAAAGAGGGGAATGGTTTCTGACAACCGAGTTAGTATTTCCATAATTTCTGTGTTAGTGGAGAAAAAGAAGAGTTCCTAAACTTTATAATAGGAGCCTGAAGGGCAGAATCAAAATAACTTGCTTTTGCTACCGATGGTCTCATTGATATTCTTCATGTATTGCTGAAATGGCATGGATGAGGAAGGGACTGGCACGTACGTTACTTTCTAAACCTAAATGGACGTACCTAATTAGATTGGCACAATGTCAAAATCATCCTAAATATGAAGTGGTAAGTGAAGGAGGACAGATTAACAAAGAATGGGTCGGGGTTAGAACTGGTACTTGTTCAAGTTCGTTCCATGTAGTTTACCAGGCAGTATGTTGGATGTTTGTAACAGACAGCTCTTTGAAGTGACACAGCAGAGGGCCAGTGTGATAGGGGACAGACAGATGTGAGTGGTGGTAACATGAGGTTAAGAGAAGAATTCCAAGAAATGGGCGCACTGTGCTGACCCCCACATGCTTTCTTTTCCATGAAGCAATTTGCCTGTAGCCCTGCCTAGCTTAAGTGAACAAGATATGTCACATTCCTCAGCAAACCTCCCATTCACTGTAGGAGAAATGCAGGCCTGAAATAATGTCGATAAGAAGATCACAAGTTAGCCTGAAGGAGGGACTTTTGTGACCCTTTCTCAGGCCTGATCTTGGAACTCAGGGAGATAAGGATAATTCTTCTAAACCACAAAGTTTGTAAGAACAGTTTCCAACTAGAACCAGTCAGGATGGACCAAAGTGACCTAAAATGGTCAGGGCAGCAGGGACTTGAAAGGCTGATGTCATCCTGCTGTCAGTCAAAAGTTAAGAAGTGGACCTGGGCAGGACTTTCTGGAGACTTCCATGGGACCCCAATAAAATGGAGGGCAAGAAAGGCACACTGTCCCTCTCCTCTCTGAGAGGACTCACTCTCTTTGGGAGTGTCCCCTTTTCCCCTTTCTCAACCTTTCTAATAAACTCACTGCCTGTTACTCTGAGCGACATGTATAAAAATCTTTTTGAATTGATCACTAGAATTGAGGTATAAAGGGAGAGCCTTTGCATAAAAAATGGAGCGTTCCGTGCAGCTCCCTAGGAACCCCACCAAGTCACAAAGGCCATGACATTGCCTTTATTTCTTTAGTCCTTTGAATGGGGTTAATGCAGACCCCTACCTTTTGGACCCATGGTCTGGGAGAATCTACTGCCAATTTAAGTGATTCTTTGTTGTCTCCCATTAACATACTACAGGGGTCTCCTCACTACCCTCTAGCTACTGTAGGCCTCGCTTACTTTTGCAACATTATATTAACTACAAGAAGCCCTGGAAACAATCAGACACTTATTGAATGAAATGCTATTCATTCTTTCATTCCCTGAAGAAAACATTGTTAGGTAGAAGATGGGGTAAGCTGAGGGCAAGTTTTCATGGAGCCTGTCAGGGAAGGCCTTAGAAATACCCATTTAAGAGACTGATCACTATAACCTATACCACAGTAGATAATAGGGCTCAAAGGAAACTGTCAAGGTTCACTTAAGTAATAGTCTGCCTTTAAGCTGGTGAATTTTAATTTACCCAGAAAAAAAGAGCTTGTTATTCTTTTCTTAATATTTTCAGAAGGAAACACACACATATTTCTTGGAAGTTAATTCCATGCTTTGGTCCCCAAAGATGCCTTGTGTCAAAATCCTAGCTTTTTAAGTCAAGCTAATTTCTTACTATTTCCAAGAATGTATAAAAAGAACAATCTATCGTTTTTCTCAGTTACAACTTGAACACATTCATATAATGTCCTTTCAAAGAAATTTATAGGTGTCTCCAACTTATGTACCAATTCTAGTTCATATGGATATTTGGAAATTTGCAGTTTCTAGAAATATAATAACAATAGTAACAATATTTGTTGCATCCTTAATATGAGTCAGAGAGAGTTCTGTGTGCTTAATGTCTGTTGACTCACATATTCCTTTTAAATAACCACACTAGGTGGATATCTTCCACAGATTATAAAAAATCGAGTCATAAGAAGGCTAAACGACTTTTCCAAGATCAGACCAATAGCAAATAGATGAGTTGAGAATGAAATGGATCCTGGCTTGAGAACACATGCAAGTGATTCAGGCGTTAGGTCAAAACTGAGCTTTTTTATTAGGTCTTCCAACCTTGCTCAGAAAAGCCCCCAAAGTGGAGAACTCTGCTCACAGAATTGAGAGCTCATTCATCACTTTTGAGACAATGTGCAGTGTACGTGTGAAAATGTTCTCATCAGATTTCCCCAGCCCTATTTCAGTTTGTCGTTTTGGGTAGTTGTGTGTGTGTGTGTGTGTGTGTGTGTGTGTGTGTGTGTGTGTGTGTGTGTATGTGTTTCTCTCTAGAACAGTGTAAAACTCAAAAAGCATCCAAAAAGCTTTTCTTATATTCCCCTGATCTCTGTTTTGCTTGTTTATTTGCTTTTGCTATTTAGATCCTGAAGGAGAGAGAGAATTGCAGTCTGCTGTGGGTTTGATGTGGGGAAGATTAAAGGAGGAGAGTCAACTGATGCTCCAGGCTCTTCATTCCTGGGACAGCAAAGTCTGGCCTGGGGTGTGGCCGGGAGACCTGATGGCAATACTGGAGAAGGGGCAGCGCGGTGAGCAGGAGAGAAATAGCGTATCTGAGCTCCCATTTCTTTTCTCTTTCCATGTCTTCCTGTCATGCTGTCATTAGGGTTGTCACACCTACTATGTCTTGGAGAGAAAGAAATATAATAGAAACTGGAGATGTTTAGGCATCCTCACAGGCCAAAAGACAATCTGTGGAAAGAAGGAGTTTGAATGTGGTGAAAAGCATCAGGGACTATTTCAGTGAGGAAAGGGGACTGATGTGACTGGATGGGTAAGGTTTCCCCCATTTCTCTAATCATCTGTTGCAGCTTGGAGGATGGTAATGTTTGGAAATGAGAATCCAATCCCACTTGCCAAGAAACAGCTTTTGTAGATCTTTGGTTTTTGTCTTTGTCTTTTGTGGTGCCCTCATGCATGCTAGATAAATGCTCTGCCATTGAGCTACATCCCTAACCCTTTTTATTTTCTATTTTGAGAAAGTGTCTCTATAAATTACTGGAGCTGGCCTTAAACTTGCTATCCTCCTGCCTCAGCAGCCTAAGTAGCTGGGATTACACACATGAGCCACTACACTTGACTTTGGAGATGTTTAATGCTTCGTAAGTATTACTTTATATAGAGTGTCCCCAAAATAGACATTTTAAAATTAATCTGAAGTACAGTAATAAGGATTATACAATAGGGTCTGTGTAGAAAGGTTAAAGCAAATATAGCTAGAGAAAATCTGATGGCTTTGGAGTTCTGTTTTATAAGCAGGGAAACATCTTACTAAAAAGGTACATCTGATGGTATTGTTCTAGCCCAGGAAAAAAGAAAGGCAATCCACATACCCCTGGAATCAGGAATATAGTTACTGATGTAAATGACTGGATAACATGACAATTGGAGAGTACCAGGAGATTCCCCTTAGTTCTAAATATATTTGACTGAAAGCTTAATATTAGTCATTCATTTTGACTGAAGTCTAAGAAAAGAGGAACAGAGGATATAATGAGGAGGCATAAGAACTTAACTCTCTTCTTTATATTTCTGTCTAGAGGTGTGCATTAACATAAAATATGATTATTGGCATAGAATACCATTTTTAAATAAAAAAACAGGACTTAGTTTTGAATGTGAGTTAATATAGGGCTGGGACTGATATAGGTGAGTTTATATAGAGTTGGGAATGGTTGACATTAAAAGCTGTTTTTTTTACATCAAAAGCTTTGATTGATATCAAAGCTGATTTTTATCCTAACTACTAAACATGGGTCATTCCCAATTACAAATGGCAAGAGACCTTGGTACAAAAAATATAGATTCTATAGTTTGGTTTAAATATTATTTATTAAACTAAATACTATTTATTAACATTAATGAAAACTAAAAGCACATTCCTTCAAGTTCAAGTCATTTAAATTGTATTCACTGGCCCAAATAAAAAAGGGAAAAAAATTCCTAGGTTTCATTTCAAATATGAAGCAAATTCCTCTTTGGCTTTAGAGAATCCTACATGAATGAAGTCATATCATATTGGGGAGAATGTGATAAAATAAATTTTAATATTTCTCCTTATATGGTTGCCTTGCTCAAGATCAGGCATTAGAATAAGTGCACTCAAATTAAGCAATAAGTATTCATATTAAATGGATTGCATTTGAAACTTCATATGCTCATAACATTTTTTTTCCTGTACTTTCAGGTGTCCCATTCTGAGTGTGGACTGTCAAACCAAGTTGTGTATCTTTTCCTTGACAGTAATCTTACCTGCTTTGTATTCTACTGTTATCATTCACATCTTCAGATATTCCAATTTTTTCCCTCATTTTTATTGTAAAGCCATTGGACTATAGGGCTTCCAACTTTGGTGCTTTCTGTTCCAGTTAAAATTAATGTTCAAGAACTACCAAATTTTCACAAGAGATTCTTTATTATTCATTCACATGGGCTGAGTAGCATTTTTTAGAGGTCCATGTAGCCTGAAAGATAAGTGAGTGGAGTGTTCTTATCTAATCATGCTTTTTTATGCTCTTCTGTTAAAGTAAAGAGAACATTCCTTTATAATATTATTATGATTATTATTATTATTATCAAGAGATGTGTACCCATTATGCTGATAATAACAATCTATTGTCAGTACTAAAATAACATATTGCCATATTTCAAATTAATACTTTAAATAGATATAAGTGAATATTCCATACTAAACTGAGATTAATCTGTAGGGCACACTGGCACACATCTATAATCCCAGGTATTCAAGAGGCTGAGGCAGGAGAATCATAAGTTGAAGGCCGGCCTAGACAACTTAGCAAGATCATGTCTCAGTAATAATAATATCAATAATAAAGAGGATTAGGAATGTGGTTCAGTGGTAGAGCACCCCTGGGTTCAATCCCCAGTACTGTAAAAAATAAATAAATAAAAATAGGTAAATTCATGCTGATTAGCAAAATTATTTTGGGTACAACTTAAGAATTCTGCTCCTTCTTTAGTTTCCAGGAAAATCCAAGCCTATCTCACTTATAGCCCACTTGAGAGCTTATCTAATTGGAAAATATTTCCCCTCTTGGTAAAGTTGTATCTACTATGAGGCCAGCATTTTTTTTTTCATGTAGAAAAAACAAACAGACAAACAAAAAAACCCAAACCACTTCTTACTTAATATACAGTCTCTTTCCAAAAAGTCTGTATTTTTTCTAGCGTTTTATTCTAGAAGGAAGAATAAATACATTGGACCAAAACAAATTATGGAAAAGACTATCCATAATTGGACTCCATCTGTCCAAAGGGGGTAAAGCCTTCCAAAGGCAGAAAAAAGATTTGAGTAACTAAGTGAGAACTGTAAAGTTGGTTCTGATGTCTAAGGAGGCATGTAATCTTCAGTTAAACTTAAAATATCTGTTTAGTTTCTTAACAATTGAATTAATTTAGTGTAGAAAATCCCTCCTAAAAACCTACTAGGGCATCTGTTATGCTCATCAGTAACCTACACTCAGAGGCTATATCTACGAGATCATGAACAATGGAATGAGAATGCAAAGATTGCTTCCAAATAACTAAAATATGCTCTTACTCCACCCCTGCTGGTTTTCATCATCAAATGTTCTGTATTAAAATTTTTTATTATGGTAACATGTGTAACACTGTAAAGTTTACCATTCTCACCATTTTAAGTGTGTATTTTAATACTATTGAGCCCATTCACATTTTTGTGCAACCATCACTACTATCCACTTTTTTTTTTATCATTCCAAGCTAAAATTCTCTATTCCTTGAACAAAGTAACTTCCTGTTCCCTCTATCTTTCTTCATTCCCTAGTAACTACTGCTTTTCTTTCTGTCTTTATGTATTTCACTCTTCTAGGTACCTCATACAAATGGATGGTACAATATTTGTCCTTCGTGTCTGACTTGTTTTACTTACCACATGGCTTTAAGGTTCATCCATGTTGTGCTGTGTCAGCGTTTTATTCTCTTGGGAGGGTAATTGTCCATTAGATGTATGTACCACATCTTTGTTCACTCATTCATCCACCTATGGACATTTGTATTGTTTTTACCTTTTGACTACTATCAACAACGAGTCTGTGAACATTGGTGTACAAATATTTGAGTCCATTTTCAGTTATTTTATATATACCCAGAACTTGAATTCCTGAATCATAGTAATTCTGCATTTATTTTTTTTTTTCCAGAACCAACATACTGCTTTCCAAAGCAGCTCCACCAGGCAAGGCTCCCACCTATGAGGCACCAGCATTCCCACTTCTCCACATCCATGCCAACTCTCCTTCCTTCCTTCCTTCCTTCCTTCCTTCCTTCCTTCCTTCCTTCCTTCCTTCCTTCCTTCCTTTTCTTAATAATAGCCATCCTTTGGGTGAAAAATGGCATCCCAGTGCATTTCACTTAGGTTTATTGATGTTGAGCATCTTTTCATGGCTTGTTGGCTATGTGTGATTCTTCTCTGGAGAAATGTCTATTCAAGTCCTGTGCTCATTTTTGGGTTGTGTTTTTTGCTTGTTTGGGAGTGCTATAATTTTTTTTCATGTTCAGTTCAATTTTTCATGGTCAGTTTTTCAAAAGAGATCACTTGGTTCCTTACATACTTTTTTTTTTTAAGAGAGAGTGAGAGAGGAGAGAGAGAGAGAGAGAATTTTTAATATTTATTTTTTAGTTCTCGGCGGACACAACATCTTTGTTGGTATGTGGTGCTGAGGATCGAACCTGGGCCGCACGCATGCCAGGCGAGCGTGCTACCGCTTGAGCCACATCCCCAGCCCTCCTTACATACTATAAGGCACATTTTCTAAGGCCAACTCCTGAGAAAAGCTGAATCAAGTCTAGCTCTTTTAGTCAGAAAATAAGCCATTTATCTAGTTTCAAAAACATTAAATATCATGTATGTTTTATTCTCTATTTTGTGGAATCATCGTTAGTAATTGTTTTCATAGTACCTTAATTTTTAGCATTGAAAGGCCATGATAACATTCTCTAAACTCTGTGAAATAAAGAATCTTGATACCAAGAAAGTTCTTGTGTAAGAGATGAACATATGACTTGATAATTGAAATAGTTTATCTGTTTTGGCTTCTTGAAAAAACAAGGATGCTGGGGCTGGGGTTCAGTGGCAGAGCCCTTGCCTAGTATGTATGAGGAGCTGGGCTCGATCTTCAGCACTGCATACAAAAATTAATAAAATAAAGACATGCTGTTCATCTACAACTACAAAAAAAAAAAAATAAAGGACTCTGTAACTATGTTTCAAGATCAACGTCCCCTTCTTTCCTTTACTTCCTTCAAAAGAGCAAGGAAATTCATAATTCACATTTCTCTGGTAGAGCAACATAACGAAAACCATGCTTCAAAAAATCAAGCAAAGCTGAGAAGGATAGATTGGTAATCATCATTATTAACAGCATCATCATTATTATAAAGGAAATATTATGTCCACGTCTTTATGGAGTGATGTAAATTTATGCTACAAAAAGTTTATAGATAAACTTCTATAATATGAAAAAAATGCAAAGGCCATGAAAGAAAATGACCACATGGTATGAAAATATGTATTAAAACTGCTTATGCTGTGTATTTTGTAACAACATTCAACTAGTGAATAGTGGATAGAGTTATGAATAAATAATAATAAACATTATATTATGTTAAAATTAAAGGTTGGTAATCATCATTATTAACAATCATTATCACTAGCATCATCAACATCAAAAAATATAAATTTTGTCCATTTTTTGTGGAGTAATGTAAATACATATAATGTATATAGTTTTAGTTAGCTTTTTGTCTCTATGACCAACATACCCAACAAGAACAACTTAGAGGAGAGAGACTTTATCTGGGGCTCTCAGTATCAGAGGTTTCATCCTTGAACAGCTGACTCCATTGCTCTGGACCCAAGGTGGGGCAGCACATCATGGGGGAAGGTTCCAGTGGAAGAAAGCAGCTCCATTCATGGAGTGGTCAGGAAGAAGAGAGAGGGAAAGGGGAGAGAAGGGGCCACAGGGAAGTTGCAGCCTTGTAGGACACTCCCCCAATGACTCATCTCCTCCAGCTGCCCCACCCACCTATCTACAGTTACAACCCAGTCAACTCATTCAAACTGGATGGACTGCCTAGTTTACAGCTCTCACAATCTAATCATGTTACTTCTGAACATTCCTGCCTTGATACAGGAGCTTTTGGGGGAGACCTCACATCTAAACGATAACATTCTACCCCTGGCCCCAAAAGCTCATGTCGATGGACAGTGCAAAGTGCATTTAGTCTATCTCAAAGGGTCTTATAGTCTCCACAGTTTTAACATTGTCCAAAACTCGAAGTTCAAAGTTTCCTCTGAGACTTAAGGCAAACTTTCAACTGTGAACCCCTATAATAATCAAAATCAAGTTATATATATATATATATATATAATATGCATTAGCACAGAATAAACATAAAAGGGAGAAATAGGGGCAGAGAGAGAAGGCATGGGGCCAAAACAAGAACAAAACCCAGGTGGACAAACTGGTCCTGTAACTCTACCTGTACTTTTGCATACCTCATCAAAGACACGTGGTAGAGAGAAGTTATTTCGAAAGGGCTGGGGCAGG